AATAATAATAATAATAATTAACGGTTTATTGAAAGAGCTTGGCAGCCAGAAGGCTGAAAATATACAGTTGCATATTTGGGGAATGGGTTTCGAATTACAAATAATATACAAGTAACATAAGTGATACAAATAACAAATAAGATATATAATAACTAGATGGGGAAAAGCTCAAACTACAGTTCATTTCAACATAGTGACAGTGCAAGGAGTAGTGTTTACTGGGAGTGAATACACTGGTTTATTACAAGTTATTGATAATTTTTACAATGGTTGGGACTGGGCTGTTCTTATAGCGATCAGTTCGTGCACGTATGGGCTGGATGCGGTTGTGGTGTCGAACAGCAATTCTTGGGCTAGGGATCTCAGGTGGTAGTAGGAGCCGGTGTCGAGGATGGTGTAGAAGATTCTTACCAAATTTGCAGATGAGGCCGTGGTGATTGAACGTCTGTGGTTATCAAGTGGAACGTGTCTCACTGTCTCAGCCTCTTGGTTTGGGTCTTGTCTTCATATAAGTGTGTAGCACCTCGCAACCTACATTCATATACTTAAACTTTTTTGTGAAGTATATACTATCATTAACAAGGATACTGGAAGGTTTTAAGAAGAGGATAAAAATCATGCGAGTTCAGTACACATTTTAAGAAATGGTTAAATTTAAAAGCTTATGAAAAGGACACTTGCTCACTGAATACTGTACAGTGGTCTAATCAGACCAGAGGTATACCTGTATTTGTCTTTGTTGGTATGTCCCTCCCTTTCCCTGTTGGTTAGGACGAGCTGCAACTCCCCAATGGTTTCCCGAGATTTTGTGATATAATGATGATACGATGACGAGTCTGAACTGCATATGAATTTGGGTTTGTTGATGATTGTTGCCACGTTCTGTGGTACTGCTTCACTTCCCATTGGAAGTTGTTGGTTTTAAGATGTTTTTGAGGCATTTGTCTGAATAACTCATAGAAGGTGTTTTAAATACTCTTGTTAGTTACCATGTTGCAAACATTAAGTTAAACCTCCTCCATGTATTAACATTTAGATGTATTCACAGGGGGATATGAAATGAGATGAAGGAAGCCCTGCAAAAACTATCTAGGTAAGTAGTGGTGCATTTGGTCGTTTAATGTTTAGGTTCTTAAAAAAAATTAATTGAAATTAAGTGTATATAGCATGATGAATTATTACCTACATTATTTGAAGAAATGAAAATATATCATAACTGAGGCAGAATATTAGAAAGAGTAAATACCATGCACTATGGGATTTTAATGATTATTATTCTTTTCAGTTGTTACTACTTGAAGATTATGGAAGGAACTATTCATGGCCTGTTAAAATTATGCTACTACAGTGGAAATGGTACAGGCTCAGTGATAAACAAATTATAATCCATTCATTTTCCTATTATAACATAATAAAACACATTTTATCATTATTAGTGTGAATGAATTAATTTTCCCACAAACAAAAAATGACAACTGTTATAAAGATATCGATTAACACTCGCCATTCCTTGCTGGCTGTTTGTTTAGAGCCAGATTTGCTCTCCCATGCTGCTGATGAATATCATGATGATGGCATTTAATCCTTTCATTGTGGTATCACCATTACATTCACCACTTGCTTCACCTTTACCACTTGCTTCACGTTCATCACTCATTCGCGTTCATCACTCACTTCACCTTTACCACTCACTTCACCTTTACCACTCACTTCACCTCTACCACCTTCCTCAGCATGGAATTGGTGATACAGAACCTTGGCTTTCTCACGGATAAACTTCTGGCTGAGAGGGGTGTGGTGGTGGTTAAAGTCCTTAATCCAGATGTTAAGGGCTTTCTCCATAGCTGTATCCCTCACGTTAGCGGCTACCTGGCAGAAGAGGGGGCACATAGGGCAACTGCATTAGGAAACTCGTTCTCTTAATATAATGGACAGTTGACTCATTGATGCCGTACTCCCAGCTGTACCATTGTAGTGAAAATCATGGTGGAACTTCCATACACCGTTAATGAATTACAGTCATGTGCCAATTAACGTCCGATCGCATATATGTCCGTGGTCCCCCCCCCCCCCAAAAAAAAAATGTGACGCCTGCTAGACCACCACTCCACGACCCCTTGACGGAGACACGATGATCCTCCCCATACTGGTCAGATATTATGTGTTAAAGGCATATGCTTTCTTACTTAGGCTTTTTTTAAGCATTTGCCTACAGGTGAAATGTTAACCTACATCTATTGAGGATAAAATCTTTCACCTACAAATTGACAATAACACCTTTGCTGTAATCAGACATATCTAGTTGCCTCAACAATTACAAACCCAGTTGCAATTTCAAATTCTGTGGCTTTACTAAAAATAGTAAAGTTTCTGGTGCACTCTAAGATTAAGAGAGAAAACGGAGGACTCAGGGGTCCTGATGTGAGAGAAAACGGACTCGTATGACGGGGGACCAAATAAAAGAAGAGCATAGCTACATGTTTTGTGGACTACAGTATCAAGCGTACCCTTTTCATCATTTTGTAATAAACATAGCCATGCCTATGTGTAAACACACATTTACCATAACATTATATATATATTTAGTGGGTCTAAATGGGCATAAAATGGGAAACTTGGGTTTGGGTCTTGGGTGCCTGAACCAATTGGAATAAATCCCATAGGTTCTGTACTTTCGTTATCGGCGGGTCCCAATTAGGCGCGATAACCAAGGGATGACTGTTCTGTATATACTTGTGACACTGGCCAGTTGCTGCTGGTGTTATGGTACAGGGGTACCAAGTGACAGCACTAGGATTCCGCTTCCTCTATCAATGAATAAACAATTAAAATTTAAATTGAAAAAAAAACCCATTCAAATAATGGGACTTACAGCGGGCACAGTCACGTATGCATCGCGTATTCTTATAGATAGTGCGGCCAGGCGTACGTTATCTAGTGAATTTAGTCAATATTGTACAGTAACAATGGACCTAAGTGCAAACCCCTATTGTACATGTACTAAAATTATTACGGTACAAAAATTGTTATGTCTATTGCAAATATAGCCTGTTTATACTGGTATTCAAATAAATTACTTTCTTACAAGAATCCCTCCAATGTAAGTTATACTCACCCAGGTCGTTTAGGTGGCAAATTATGAGAAGAGCTTAGTCACTCTTAAGTAATGATCAGTAAACATGCAGGCAGGCCTTCAGCCCCAACTGTCAAATCTTATCTCATTTAAATAAATAAACAAATGCCAGACATTGTCACCTCGCCTCCTAGCCCCTCTTCCCACCCTGGTGATTTCTTTGTTCATTTTATATAATATCTCAGACTAAAGTTAGGAGATTATAATTTGCATTGCTGGAATCCTTGCAAGACAGCCAATAATTTGAATATAAGCGTCATATATTTTGCTCAAGAGATAAAAATTGTTGAACATAGTGTACAGTACTGTAGTACATTTATAAAAAAAGTTTTTCAACTGTATTTTTGGGTAGATTTACATACATTTTCATTTATTTTCATCCATTTACATGCACACACCATACTAAAAGAAACGTAATAGAAATAAATGACCTCAGTGCAAAGCTGTATGCACTTGTACTAATTTGATTACGGTACTAAAATTGTTTTGTCTAGTGCAAATTATAGCATGTTTATATTCAAATTAATCAGTATGTTACAAGAATCCCAGCTATGTTAATTATATTCACCCAGGTCATTTCACTGGCTTTTTATAAGAGAGAAGCTTGGTCACCTAAGAACTGATAAATATACACGTGTGGGGTTCAAGATGTTTGGTTCACACTCGGGATGGGATGGAGAAAGGAAACTCATAATGTGCTTTCTATATGCATGTTGTATTGGACGTACAATGCAGCTTGGTGCTGGGAAGGCAGCATGGTTACAAGCGTGATGTAGAGAGAGCTGGTTGGTGAGGACGCTCGGAGAAGGACAGCTTGTGGGTCGCCATGCTCGCCTGCGGGAGAGAGGACCGCCAGGCAGCGGCGGAGGAGGTGTTGCTGGCTGGTTGGTGTGGGTAGAAAGAGACAGGTCACTACGAGGTCAGGTCTTAAATAGCCGGGGGGTAGGCGTGGCTTAGTAGTTGACCCCTGCTCCGTGATGTATGGCGGCGCTGGTTGACCTAGACCACGAGGCATACACTGGGGAATTGGTGGGGTCGGCTACTCAGCGAAAAACAGCGTTTGTAGGAGAGAAATCCACTATAATACTCCCCCTTCCCTCCAGGCGGTGTAAGAGACTTGTTGTCTGCAGGGTTGCTTAGCACATGTGAGGCAGAACGGGCGGTGCATTCCTCATGTGAGAACGGCGATGGCGTGGATGAGCCGGTCGCTGGATACAGCTGTCTATATACACACTATCTGTGGGAGAAGAGAGGGAGAAAAAGGGTGTGTGGAGGCGATGAATGTTGTGCTTCCCTCACGGCAGGTACAGAGTCGTCAGATGCGCCTACTGGGGTGTGTGGGCCTGGGTCAGGAGCAGGGGCTGCGTCAGCAGAAGCGGATGAGGGCTCGTGACAGCAGCTGGGTCCACGACAGCAGCAGGGTGCAGGACATTAGCAGGGAGAAAAGGGGTGTGGGTCCGCACTCGGGAACAGTGGCCGCGTCAGGGGAGGCAGGGGTTACTGCTGGGCCGGTGTCGGCGTCTGAGGCAGGACGGGTGTGCTGGGGTCGGTAGGACGTGGTGCTTGGGGCAGAAAGAGGAGCTGGTGTCTGCTTAGAGATGCAGTGCTGCTCTAGGGTGTCTAATCTGCGGTGTAGAGACAGTAGTTGTAGAGCCGATGAGAGCTGCTTCTGTGTGGATAAGCCAGTCTTCCATGTTGCTTGAAGACTGGGAGCGTGATCAGTTTCTCCTCCATCCTGTGTGAGTGCGAATCTCCGGGAGTCACCATTGTGGGGTTCAAGATGTTTGGTTTACACTCAGGATGGGATGGAGAAAGGAAACTCACAATGTGCACTCTATACACATGTTGTATTGGACGTACAATGCAGCTTGGTGCTGGGAAGGCAGCATGGTTACAAGCGTGATGTAGAGAGAGCTGATTGGTGAGGACGCTCAGAGAAGGACAGCTTGTGGGTCGCCATGCTCGCCGGCGGGGGAGAGGACTGCCAGGCAGGTGGAGGAGGAGCGAGGGCCGCCAGGCAGTGGCGGAGGTGGTGTTGCTGGCTGGTTGGTGTGGGTAGAGAGAGACAGGTCACTACGAGGTCAGGTCTTAAATAGCGGGGGGGGGGGTAGGCGTGGCTTAGTAGTTGACCCCAGCTCCGTGATGTATGGCGGCGCTGGTTGACCTAGACCACGAGGCATACACTGGGGAATTGGTGGGGTCGGCTACTCGGCGAAAAACAGCGTTTGTAGGGGAGAATTCCACTACACACGCGTTAGACCTGGGCCTGTGCCAACTGTCAAACGTACTAACTCCCCCTTGCTTGCTCCCACCCTCTCTCTCCCCCATCTGCTCGGCGTTGCTGGAATCCTTGTAAAACTGAATAATTTTAATATAAACGTCATGTATTTTGCACAAGAGAGAAAAATTAATCACCTGTATCACATTACAGTAGTGGTTTAAGAGTAAAAGTGTATATGTACGTATATAGTATTCCACATACACGTAAGTATAAATAAAAAGTTTGTGATGATCGGACAACGTCCATTTCGGTTAACGTTATGTTTCCAAGAACGTATCTAGGACGTTAACCGGCGCATGACTATTGAGGGAAGAAGTTTTGGGGACAACAGTGAGACAATGTGGAGCCTCCCGGAGGGTGGCGTCCTACCCTGGCCTAGTGAATGAGCCGCCGGGAGGGCGGCGTTTCTGCTAGTTAGCATAATAAAGCTTGGAATGTCCATTTACATCAATTAAGTAGGTCACCTTATTTATACATTCAATAATCTTATATAGTCCACTCCAAGACATGAGAGTTTACTTTGGTCTTAATATATGACCATCGTCAAAGTGAATATAGCTGAATGTGGTATCATATAAGGAGGCATACTACATGTCTCCATGAAGTAAACCCTTGATAACTCGGCGCATTTGGGGCTGTGGACTTTGCCAAGTTACCTCCTACCGTCCCCCCAAAAATTCTGTCTTAGCGAGGTGCTTTCCCCTCCTACAAAAATACAATGAAGAATTATCGATCCATTTAATTGTGTACATATAATTACTAAATGTAAAAAAAAAGGAACCCTTACCATCACTGCAGGAGAAGAATGTATCATAGTAGGTGACATGCAAAGTACCTCTGTAGGTGACAGGTATAGGGGGAGAATGTTTCTAATTTACTTCTTTTATTCCCTCTATTTTTAAAAAATTTGTCTGGGAGGTGTTGTAATTATATTTAATTTTCTCCTTTCTTTCTACATCCTTCTCTTATATTCTTTATTTCTTAATGGTTCTCTTCATACCTTCGTTCTTTAAATTTC